CGGGACCACGACCCAAGGGCCGAGAAAACGAAAAAACGGGAAACCAAACCGAAGTCAAAGGAAACAAAATCACAACCCAGGGGGCGAAGAACGGAGAACACGAGAAACCAAACCAGGGTCTGAGAAAACGAGGCCACGACCCCAGGGCCGAGAGAACAAAAAACGAACCAGGGCCAGGGGGTGCTTCGAAAGCCCACCCCCCTTTGCAAAGGAGGGTGGAGGGGGGTAGCTTGAAGCCGCCCCCTGTGTCCAGACCAAAAAGGGAGGGAGGGGGGAGGGGGACTTCCGACCACCCCCCCCCTTTGAAAGGGAAGCCCGGGCTCACCTTCTGCTCTGGAAAAATGAGGGAGGGGGGAAGTTTCGAAGCCCCCCCTTTAGCAAGGGGCCCCCTAGCTTAGAAACCATTGCAAAAGCGAGGGGGGGTAGCTTCGGAAGCTCCCCCCCTTTTGGAAGAGAGGGGGGGGGTAGCTTGAAGCTGGGGCCCTCCTTTCCTTACTTCTGGCGCTGCGGGCGCGCTCTTTCATACGTTTTGTGGCCACATGTCTTCTCTGCGCGCATGCAACTGTCATGAAGCAGCTGCGTGCAGCTGGGCTTGTGGGGCGCCACCTGGCGCCGGAGGCGCGCGCGCCCGAGGCGACCGCCGGGCCGAGGCGAAACCGGCTGCTAGAGGCAACACACTCCGCCACACTCCCTTGCGTCATCCCCCCTCTCGCCCGACGCGGCCACCTTTCCCGTCGGCGGCAAGGCAAATGGCGGTCCGCTCCAGCATGTGGCAATGCGGGGCAGCCGGATGGCTCATCGGCCGACGTCCGACCCGAGAATGCCATCATCGTCGCAGTCGCCGTCGCCGCCGCCGCCGCAGTCGTCGTCATCGTCGTCGTCGTCGTCGTCGTCGCCGCCGTCGTCGTCGTCGTCGTCGTCGTCGTCGTCGTCGTCGTCGTCGGGTCGTCGTCGGCATCGGCGTCGGCGTCGTCGTCGGCGTCGGCGTCGGCGTCGGCGTCGGCGTCGGCGTCGACGTCGGCGTCGGCGTCGGCGTCGGCGTCGGCGTCGGCGTCGGCGTCGGCGTCATCGTCGTCCGCGTCGTCGTCGTCATCGTCGTCCTCGTCGTCGGCGTCGTCATTGTGCCTTCTGAGGGGGCATGTAGTTGCGAGTTCGAGCTTCTAGCAAGAACGTATCAACTGACGGGTCTTGGGGGCGATTTCGCAGCCGCATGGAAGTCGGGCACCTCCGCAAAATCCGCTGACCCCTTGGGCGTTACTCGGCGTGCGAGATAGTTCTCCCTCCCCAAACAAGTCCGAGCTGAATCGGATTGCGAAATCGGATCAGATCGAGATCGGATCGAATCGCCAGCGAATCGTCCCGAATCGGATCGGCATCGAATCGCCGCGCCCCGCTTCTGGCTGGCTCTGGCCGATGCCGGCGAATAGAGCCGGATCTCACCGAACTGGACTCGCGGCCCCAGCCGGCGAATCGAATCGCATCGAATCGGATCGTCGGCGGCCCTGCCAAACCCCTCCTCGCGAGCTCGGCCCGGCCGGTTTGGCAGGGGGGTCCAGCCGGATTGGACCGAGGGGGCACTTGCTTCAGAAGTGCCCCCCCGTACACGTCGTTCATTTCTAATCGTGCTCATTTCTAATTGTGCTCGTTTCCAATTGTTCCTGGCCTCCTAGTGGCCAGGAAGAGGCCCAGGATAGCACAATTAGAAATGAAAGGATCTTGGCCCCCAAAAAAATCAAAGAACTTTCGAAGAATTAGAAATGAACAATGTGTACGGCCTCAGGCGGCCTCGGCATGGCCCTCCAAGAGGCCCCATGACAGCCCGAGATGGCCTCCACGTGGCCCAAGGGGCCCCGAGACGCCTCGTTGTTGGCCTGCAAGCAGCCCACGACATCCCCAAGACACCCCGAGGGCTCCAGGGTGAATCCCAGCACGGCCTTCAGAAGCACGAATCGCCCCAACCCTGTGGAAAAAACGTAGGTTGTTGGCAGATGCCGCCTTCTTGGTCTGAACCGCCTCCACGACAGCCCAAGAGGCCCCCAAGATCACCGCGAGACGGCGCAAGAGGCCCCCCCAAAAGGTTCCAAGACAGCGAAAAAAAGCACCCAAGGGGGCCCCGAGATGGCTCAAGAGGCCTTCAACAAGTGGCCCCGGGGGACCCCAAGACGGCCTCAGAGAGTCACCCAACACGGCCTCCGAAAGCGCAATGCGACCCAAGAGCGCCCGAAGACGACCCAGGTACACCCCCAATGGGCATCGTATCACCGACCCCTGTCGCCATGGGCGTGGCCTTGGCCCCACTGGTCAACCTACCCCCCCTAGATGGGGACGTGGGCCGTTTCCTTCGGGGCTCGAGGGGTATATATCCCCAACTGGGGTGCTGAGATGGTGGGGGTCTGGATGGGGATGTGCTGACCCAAGAGGCCCCCAGAGAGCCCCCCAGGAGGCCCCAAGAGGCCTCTTAAGGGGCCGCCAGAGAGCTCCCAGAAGCCCCCAGATGCCCACGCGGGCGCCCAAGCCGCGCAGAAATCAGCAGACCAATCAGGGCCTCCCAGCGCGTGACGTTGCTCCCCGCACAGGAACCCCAGACTTCCTGGACTTCGAACAGCCAATTCGCATTCGAAGGCCCTGCCGAGGTAGGACCAAAGGGTCGGGGGTGCGGCGTCAGCCTTTGAGTCTAGACGCTGAGGGCTCGCTCGGAAGGAACAAAGAGACGGAACCGCGGTCGTCGAGTCTGCGGAGGCCAGGAGGAGCAAGACCAAAGGCCGCTTCTGGATCCCATGGGCATCGCTGGCGGCTCGCACAATGGAGTGGCGCGAGTGGTCCGGCCAGGCGCCTTTTCAGAAGACGGGAAGGCTTCTTCCAATAGAAGACAAGCGGATAAAGCATAGCATGTCCAAAGTCCGCGCGGAATTCTTCGATCCGCCATGGGCCTCCTGCCCGGCAAGGGGCAGGGGCTCCTGCGCAGATCCAAGAAGATCCGCGCAGGCCCCCGAAAGTCTTCTTCGGCAGAACACAGGGACCCTCGCGGAACTGGCCCGAAGCTTCTGAGAACCCCTCGCCAGTCCTCGTGCCCACCGCCGCGTTTCCAGACATCCGACGAACCCAGACCCCCGACGTCATGATTTTTTCGTTACGTCGACCCCCAGAGGTCCCGACCCTTTCCCCATGACCGGCTTTGCATCCTGAGTCGTTTTTGGACGCTCCCGAGGCCCGGTGGGGGCCCCCAGAGGCCGAAAATAGCGAAAAACTTCCCGTCGTGATTTTTTCACGACGCGAGGGGGTCTGGGAAGAGATGTGTTCCATGCGCGGCCCCAGGAGTCCCGGCCCCTTCCCTGGGGGTCGTGCCTCGCACCGGCGGCTCCGCTGCGCATGGCCCCGGGGCCCGAACGCGGCCCCCGGAGGCCGAATTTTCCCCGGGCAGTTTCTGCTCTGTGATCCCAGCCCCCCTCGAGTAATGAAAAAATCATGACGGGAGGTTTCTCTTAATTTTCGGCCTCTGGGGGCCCTCACCGGGCCTCGGGAGCGTCAAAAAACGACTCAGGATGCAAAGCCGGTCATGGGGAAAGGGTCGGGACCTCTGGGGGTCGACGTAATGAAAAAATCATTACGTCGGGGGTCTGGGATTCTTACAGGTTGGTTAGACATGCGGTGGGTGCTGGACCTGATCGCGCCGGGTTTCCGCCGCCTTGTTTCCTCACGAGGGGTTTCCCCGGTCTTGTTTCCGTGCTGGTTTGGGAAGCTGGCCTCTCTCGGGTTCCTCGGGTTCCCCAGGTTCCATGGTCTTGTTCCTAGAGGCGTTCCCCGGGTTGCCAAGCAGCGCCCAGCCACACAAGCAACCCCAAACAGTGCCAAGCAACGCCAACAAATACCAAGCAATGCCAGGCAATCCCAAGCAATGCCCAGCAATGCCGAGCAATGCCAACCAATGTCACGCAATACCAAGCAATGGCAAGCAATACAAAGCAATGCCAGGAAATGCCAGGCAATGCCAGGCAATACCAAGCAACACAAAGCAATACCAAGCAATGCCAAGCACTGCTCAGCAATGCCAGGCAATACCAAGCAACGCAAATCAATGCCAAGCAAAACAAAGCAAGGTAAACCAATTAAACGCAGTGCATGCCAAGCAATGCCACCAAGCAATGCCAGGCAGTGCTAAGACGTGCCAAGCAACGCCAAGCAGTGCCCGGCAATGCCGATCAGCGCAGTGCAACGCAACGCAGCGCAGTGCGACAATGCCAGGCAAGGCCAAACGATCCGAAGCAACACCGCTCAGGAAGCGTTGCCCTGCTTGGGGCCATGACGCGATGGAAATGCGCGCGAGGTCGAGGGGGGTTGTGGCGAGCAGAGGTGGCCGGCGGGAGGGAGGCCGTCGTCTGAGAAGGCGAGGGGGCGTGTTAGAAGGCAGAGGCCTTCTCAAGAGGAGAATTGGAGGAGGAGGAGGCGGCGGAGGAGGAGAGAAGGATAAGAGGAGGAGGAGGAGGAGAAGGAGGAGGAGAAGGAGGAGGAGAAGGAGGAGGAGGAAGGGGGAGGATGATTATGTTGCTCCAATCGTACATAAGAACCTAATCCCAGAAATGATTTCGAGCACCCAGAACAATGGCAAAACAGGGTCGAAACAGTGTCGAGCGAGTGTCTCCCATGCTCGAAATTATTTCTGGCTGTTCAGGCCAAAGTAGGTCGGAACATCATAAGAGGGCAGGGAGGAGGAGGAGGAGGAGGAGGAGGAGGAGGAGGAGGAGGAGGAGGAGGAGGAGGAGGAGGAGGAGGAGGAGGGGGAGGAGGAAGGAGGAGGAGGGAGGAGGAGAGGAGGAGAAAGGAGAGGAGAACGAGGAGAAGGAGGAGGAGAGGAGAGGAGGAGGGAGGAGGAGGAGGAGGAGGACGGGAGGAGGAGGAGGAGGAGGAGGAGGCGGAGGAGGAGGCGGAGGAGGCGGCGGAGGAGGCAGGAGCAGCAGGAGGAGAACGAGGAGCAGGAGGATACCGCTGGAGGCCTGCCGCCCCCGAGCGCCGCACGGGCTCCTCTCGCGTGTCCGAGGCCGAGGTCTCCGCGCGCCGCCGCCGCCGCACGCGCAGGCCGCCCAGGCAGGCGAGGCAGGGCGGGCAGGCGGCCATCCCTCGCCTGGGGGCCCGCGGGCGGGCGGCCGCGGGGCCCCCGGGGCGTCGGCCGCGCCAGCCCCGGCGGCCCGCCCGGCGCACCCCGGCGGCGGCGGCGGCGACGCCGACGCCGACGCCGACGCCGACAAAGACGACGCCGACGACGACGACGACGACGACGACGACGACGACGACGGAGACGGCGACGACGGAGACGGCGGCAGCGGCGACGACGGCGACGACGGCCACGACGGCGACGGCGGCGTCGGCGGCGTCGGCGGCGTCGGCGGCGCGGCGGCGCGGCGGGGCGGCGGCAGCGACGCCGAGGACGACGACGGCGACGGCGGCGGCGGCGAGGGGAGGGGCGGTCAACAAAAGGAGAGCTTTGGCGACCCAGCTGATGCTCAAGTCCGCGCAGCGTTCGGCCAAGAACAACAGGAGGGGCAGGGACCAGAGCGGGAGGATGACATTATATAGTTGCTGCTGTGAATGATGCTGATGATGATGCTGATGCTGATGCTGATGCTGATGCTGATGCTGATGCTGATGCTGATGCTGATGCTGATGCTGCTGATGCTGTTGATGATGATGATGAGGATGTTGAGGATGATGATGATGACGACGACGACGACGACGATGATGATGATGATGCTGATGATGATGATGATGATGATGATGCTGATGATGATGATGATGATGATGATGATGATGATGATGATGATGATGATGATGATGATGATGATGATGATGATGATGATGATGATGATGATGGCGATCGTGACGATCGTGACGAGGTTGGTGATGGTGATGGTGCTTCTGGTGATGATATCGACCGTGATCATGAGTCGGATGGTGATGGTGAGAAGCACGACCACCCGTGCTATCCCAAAGCAGCTTACTACCATTGTCACCCTCTGACGTACACTTAGTACGACTCCTACTCTTACTCTGAATGCTACACTTGCTCGCGATGTCCCCGCGCACTGCGCGGTCGAGCTGCCGCCTCGGAGGCGGGCGCGCGAGGCGCGCGCGACGGGCCGTGCAGGAAGACGGCCCGCCGCTCGGGAGCCCGTGAGGCGCACTCAGGACGGGCCTCGTCCAACAAGGGCAGTCGGATGGCCAGGGGGCCGCTGCAGCGCCGCAGGCTACGGGGCAGCCTCCTCGTCCATGGCCATGCCCAAGGGGGCCGGGGGGCCTCCTCGCCCTTGCCCTCCTCGTCCTCGTCCTCCTCGTCGTCGTCCTCGTCCTCGTCCTCAGCCCTCCTCCTCTTCGTCCTCCTCCTCCTCCTCCTCCTCCTCCTCCTCCTCTTCCTCCTCCTCTTCCTCCTCCTGCTCCTCCTTGTCCTCCTCCTCCTCCTTCCCCTCCTCCCGGAGAAGTTGCAGACGCTTGTCGTGCTGTCGTTGGGCAACTTCAGGGGCGCATCCCCGCACACTGCGCAGTCGAGGCCCGAAGGCGGCCCAGGAAAGACCAAAAGGCCCCCAAGACGGCCCAAGGGGACCCCCGGTATGGCCCGAATGCGCAAAAAACATATTCTTGGCTTGGGTGTTTCAAAGATTTGGGCGTCCTCGCTGTTTCGAAGGCCCTTCAGCTCCTGACGGCCCTAGAGGCCCCCACTGTTGCCCCAGACCGATCCAAGAAGGCCCCAAATGGCCCAAGAATCCTCCAAGACGGCCTCGAAGAGAGGGAGCCCCGCTCTGGCCCAAGAGGGCCTCTAGAGGGACCCGGCACGGCCGAGCGTTGCGGTGGGCCAGAAGCCCATCCCTCCACCCCGACGGGAGGCCCCTCGGAGGCGCGACGACGACGACGACGACGACGACGACGACACTAAAGCAGACACCAAAAACGACGCCAACGACAACGACAACGACAACGACGACGACGACGACGACGACGACGACGACGACGACGATGACGATGACGATGACGCCGCCGACAACGACGGAGACGACAATGCCGACGCCGACGGCGCCAGAAACGGAGACGACGATGCCGACGCCGACGGCGCCGACGCCGACGCCGACGACCACGACAACGACGACGACGACCACGACGACGGCGACGACATGGACGAAGACAACGACGACTGCAGAGGCGACGGAAATGACGCCGACGCCGACGCCGATGCCGACGCCGAAACTGACGACGCCGACGCCGATGCCGACGCCGAAACTGACGACGACCACGACGACGACGACGACGACGACGACGACGACGCACGTCGCCGACGGCGGCGCCGAAGTCGACGCCGAAGTCGACGCCGAGGGCGAACGACGGCGGCGGCGGCAGGGCGCGCCCGAGGGCGCTGCCGGCTCGCCCCGGGCCACGCCGCGGCGGGGAGCCCCCGCGGCCGCCGCGCGGCGCATGTCCGAGCGCTCCCGCGCGCGCGCGCTGGCGCGCGCCCGGCGCCCGCCACGCGCCGCGCCTGGGCTCAGCCACGACGGCGGCGAGGAAGGCGGCGGCTGCGAAGGCCACGGCCAGGGCGGCAACGACGGAGCCAATGTTTCAACCGGCCAGCAAACCTGAGGACCGACCCGTCCACCGACCAGCCACCCAGCCAAGTCGCCAACCGTCCATTGGGACAGGGAGCTTGTTGGCCGACTTGCGAGGGCCCGCCAACCAATCAGCCATCCAACCAACGAAGCCACTCACTCGACCCAGATACGAAGGCAATCAGAGATGGGCTTACAAAACAAGGCGACTCCATCCATACTTGGAATATACAAATAGACCTATGTAAGCCAGCGTGGACCCCAAACAGTGTGTTTCTAGCAATCGATGTTGTGCAATTTACGTGGTGCGATCTAAGTCGTGCAGAATTCGTTACGCAATATATGTGGTGCAACCTACGTGGTGCAACTCACTGGCCGAACTTGAAGTGGTCAAGTCAACTGCTTGAGCAATCATCCCACCCACACACCAGCAACTTGGTTTGCAAAACCTATGCGGACACGATTGCGATGAGTGTTTGGTATTGGCTGGTGCATCTCTGCGGCCGCGCTAGCCCACACGTGCTCGCGCGCGCAGCGGCCAGCTAGTTTGTCGCGACCGACGCGAACGCGGCGGCGCTGACCGTTCGGCACATCCCAGTGCGAGTCGGCGACTTGGGCGGGCGCGGTATCGTGGCAAGGTCGGCAACTGTAGCGATGAGGATAGTAGCGTTGCTGGCGACGATGCTGGCAGCGACGACGGGGCAGCCAGTGACGATGCCGATGCTGATCACGCCGGCGGCGATGACGGCGCCTTCGCGTCGGTGATAAAGGTTTTGGAAGGAGCTCGAAATGCGCGCGCGGCAGACGCGCGAGGATGCCCCGCAGTGTATTATTTGACACGGCTCGTGCCACCCCAGCACGCGCGCAAGGGCGTCCGAACGATTTCGGACCGAGGGTGGACCGATACTGGCCTAGCTGGGATAGTACGAATTCAAAGGTAAGATGGACATTGGGTCAGAATCGTATGTGTTTTGCCTAGGTTTCCGCGGTATCGAGAAGTCCGGGGGGGGGGGTAGAACCTATCTCCTTTTAATCGCGCGCTCTATATGGTAAACTTCATGCGGCGCAATGTAACCGATCCAATATATGTTGTGAATGCTATGTGGTAAAATCAAAAGTTTGCAATTTATGTCGTGCACCGTATGTTGTGCAACCTATTTGATGTAATATGTGGTGCAATGTATGTGATGTAATATGCGCTGTGCACTCTACGTGGTGCAATGTATGTGTTGCAACGCATGTACACTTGATTCGTTTCAATCTGCGCTGTACCATATATAGATATATGTATGTAAATGTGTAATGTAAATTAAAATATACGTACACATTTACATACACCTATACAGATATGCATGCTGCTTCCATTTTTTTTAAATATGCACATTAAAAAAATGAACGTTAACATTGGCGGACGCATATACACATATACATGTATATATGCACGCTAGAACCACGCGCGCGCCTCGCGAGCTTAGGTTCTAGGCGACTCCGAAGCTGGTGTCCGTGGGCATCGCGAACTTCTCAGGATACCGTGGGACCGGTATCCCAAGCGTACATTGCCTTTCTCTCGCGGGTGCGCGGAACCTCTTGGGGGGGTGCGTCGCGGCGCAGGCCCGGTTTCTCAGAAGGCAGCGCGGTTCCTGAGCATCCCCGCGGCCGTTCAAAAACCCAATCGGGAATTCGAAGATGGTTTCGACATCTTTTCACAGGCAAGAGGTTTTGTGCGCTTTTCAAATATGTTTGTCTCCTCTGATGCCCCCCCTTCCCCCTTGAGCTCACCGCGGGGCCTTTCCCAGCGCGGCGGCTGCGGCTCTATCGTCGGGGCGAACGCGCGCCGGCCCCTTCAGGAACCGCGGGGCGACAGGACGGGCGCGCGAACGCCGCGACAGCGACGGGGGACGACGAAGACGCGCGGGTACGCCCAGGATGGGAACAACGCGGATTCTGGCGACCACGCCGAAGAAACTAAGACGAGAAGGGCGACCGCGACGGCCGCGACTCACTCGTTTGGTTGGCATTGCACCCCCGCGTCTCGATTCTCGCCGCTGTCTACCCCGTCGGCGGCCAGAGGACGAAGGCGAAAGCGACGACGGCGAGCGACGACGTCGTTGCCGAAAGTCTCTCCCGCGAAAGTTATCCCGCGAAACTTTGTGAATCTAGCTTGGCGCGCGTATGTTGGCGCGCCGCACGCAACGACCCGATCGCGCGCGCTGGCCGAGATGCGCCGACCCTCGCGGGCTGGGCGCGAAAAGTGATGGGATTGGAGGCTCGGGGGAGGAAGGTTTGAGTGCGTTCGCGCGGCAGGGGGAGGCGTAGCTGCGCGGCCTCACCGCTGCCTCATCGCCTCACTCCCAAACGTCCAGGACGGGCCAATGGCATACGAACCCAAACCCCAAGACGTCATGATGTATCAGTGGCGACATAATGTTCCCATTGCGTCATGACGTTGTCATTATTTCTTGGAGCGCTGAAAGCTCGAAAACGCGAGATGGCCCAACATTTGATCATTAGCCTGGCGAAGGACCCCACCGCGCGCAGCTGCGAGAGCCGCATCCGTGAATGTCGTCTTCGGCGGAGCTCCTTACGGGGGCGCGAACCGCGCGAGGGGCGCGCCAAAGTGGGTCGGCGGCGGCACGCGGGCGCCGCCACTGGTGCCTTCGGCGGAGATCCCTATAGGGTCCTCGGCGCGGCCCCCCCTGTCCGCGATGTGCTCGGTAGGGGTAGCGAGAAAAGCTAGACCGTCCAAAACCTTCATTTTTTCTCTTTCTCTCTTTCTTTCTCTCTCTCTCTCTCTCTCTCTCTCTCTCTCTCTTTCTCTCTGCGCCCGCGCACTCCAGAAGCCAAAGGCCGCGGGCGCCGCGCGGCGCGGAGTCCCCGCGACGCGCGCCTGTCGCCCCGAAGGGGTCCCAGCGACGCGCGCGGGTCGTTCGCCGCGCGGAGGAAAGAGAGCCAGTACGCTGGCCGATTGCGGGCAAGCGACGACAGGCGAGCGAGGCGCTGGGCAGAGCGCAGCGTGGAGTTCCCGCGACGCGCGCGAGTCGCTCCGAGAGGGCCCCAGCGACGCGCGCGGGTCGTCCGCGGCGCGGGGCCAAACAGTCAGACCGTCGAGAGAAGACGAGGCTCGGGCGGGCCGCCCCCCTGGTCAGGCCTCGCGGAGAAACTCTGTGAAGCCCAGTTCCCTGCCGAAGGCCGTCGCCTCCCTCTGGCACCGCTTCGCGCGCGCCGCAAGCTGCTCCAACTGCTTCCGCAAGCCCCCCGACGGCCCTGCCAAGAAACACTCGATCCGCGGCGCCCGCATGAGCAGGAAGTCCTCGGGGCGCGTGGCACACGAGAACAGCGCGTAGAGCTCCAGCCACGCGAAGTGCAGCGCCTCATGCTCGCTTCTTGTTTGATCGATATCCTCCGAGACGACCCCAAGAGCGCTCCCAAGGCTCCCAAGAGCGCTTCACAAGGGCCCCAAGAGGCGCCCAGGAGGCCCCAACAGGCGCCCAAGAGGCCTCCAAGAGGCTGCCAACAGACCCCCAAGAGGCCTCAAGAAGTTCTCCGAGGCACCCAAGACGCTCCAAGAGGCCTCCACTGGGGGACCATTCCTCTGTGTGCTGCCCACGTCCCTGATCGAGGCAATTGCTCTGGGCATCGTTTCTGGATGGCCTGGTGGGGTTAAGCGAAGCGTCTGAAATTTCAAGCTCCAGGACCACAGATGGTCAAGAAGTCTCAAGCGAAACGCCCAGCCCGCCATACCCACACTCTGTGGACGCGACGGGGAGGAGGTATCAAGTGAGGGAAGTGCACGGAGCTCTGAAGCGGCCGGGAGGATCTGCGCTGCATGGGCCCTGAACAAGCATCCGTCAAGAGAGGGGGTCCTCCTCCTCCTCCTCCTCCTCCTCCTCCTCCTCCTTCTCCTCCTCCTGCTCCTCCTCCTCGGACGTACCTGGGGGATGAATGGGTCTGCTCCATCACACCTGCGGGGCGCCTACCGCCACAGCTGGTACCTCACAGAGGAGGCCAGAGCGCGGGCGCGGGATTCAGGAAGATGGTCAAGCTCGGCCCTGTGAGCGTTGATGGTGTTGAAGAGGAGGGTGGCAGCGGCAGGCAGCAGGAGGCTCTCGGCCGAGGGGGAGGAGAGACCAAGTCGCTCGATGGGGCATCCTGGGAGCACTCTCTTCTGGAGGACCATCGCTAAAATGGCCAGGAACCGAGGGCACGACCAGTAGTGTGGCAAGCTGTCAGCGCTGGATGAAATTCCGCACGGCACGCAGCCTAGCACACATAGGGCAGGCTTCTGAAAGCGGGCCTCCGTCGTCCATCCGTTGACTAGGAGTTTCAAAATCGCATTCGACTGGACCGGAGGAAGCTTCAAGAGACAGTGCTGGGTTTCGGACCAGGGCCAATCGGCGAGGGTCTCCAGGGAAACCGGGAGCCAGGCGTTTAATCGCTTGCAGAAAATACCGACCAATGGGTCGGGAAATCGAACTTCTAGAAGCGTCAGGGCGAGCTTTCCCTGGATCTTAGCACGGCGATTCGGGGGAGGAGGAGGGAGGGAGGTAACAGCAGAGGTGGCAGCAGCAGCGAGGAGCTCGCGAGCGGGGGAGGAGGAGGTGACCAGATCTTGCCCGATGTTGGCAGGATAGCAAGCTGCGGCGGAGGACAGGAATTCCGCGAACGATGGCTGGCACCAGAATGAGGGAGACAGGGATCCAGCAGCACGGATGGGGAGGGGCAGGCATTGGTCCGCGGTTTCACGGAGAGAGGCAAGGACGGATGGCCAGCTCTGGAGGGTGGTGGCACTGGATCTAAGGAGAGTGGCCGATGACAGAATGAGAGCGCTCGGGAACTTCGGCCCTCCCCACCTCCAGAGGTTGAAAAAGCCTGCGCGGGAGATCACACAGTGTGGCGAACGCCACAGGCGGGCAAGAA